GCCTCCTCAAAAAACTAAAAACAGAACTCTGATATGACCCAGCAATCCCAGTGCTGGTATCTATCCAAAGGAAAGAAATCAGCGTATTGAAAACATTATCTGCACCCCCATGTTTATTGCAGCATTAATGACAATAGCCAAAATATGGAACCAACCTAAAGTGCTCATCAACCAATGAATGGATAAAGAAAATGTGGTATATATACACAACGGAGTATTATTACAAAAAAGAATGAAATCCTGTCATTTGCAGCAATGTGGATGGAACTGGAGGTTATTATGTTAAATGAAATAATCCAAGCATAGAAAGACAAATATCACATGTTCTCATTCTTATGTAGGAGCTAAAAAAGTGGGCCTCATGGCGACAGAAAGTAGACTGGCAGTTACCAGAGGCCGGGAAGGGGGGAATAAAGAGAAGTTGATTAATGGATACAAATACACCATTGACAGAGGAAATAAGATTTGGTGTTCGACAGATCTACGGTTTACCATACTCTATTGTACATTCCAAAATAGCTGGAAGAGAATAATTTAAATGTTTCTAGCATAAAGAAAGGTGATGGATAACCCAAGTATGCTGATTTGATTGTTAAAAATTATATGAATGTATTAAGTTATCATATGTACCCTGAAATTATATGCATCCATTATACATCAATAAAAATTTGTTTTAATAAAAAAAAAAAGAAAAATTTCAAAGTAGAGATCAGAGAAGATATGGCAAGACAACTCGAGATGACTAAACATGAGCTGACAGAGCGCATGAATAAAAAACAGAATGAGCACAAGAAGGAAGTCTGCATTGGAAAGCACCCAAAGACAGACACCCCCAAAACAACAGCAGGGAGAGGGGACAGAGTTAAGAAAGATCTCTTAAACAAATTTCTGATCACAAAAGAAATTAAATTCAAAACTGCAAGATATACAGGAAACAATAAAATCAAGAAGTCAGTGTTCAGAAGAAAGTCTATGGGTTGAAAATGCCTGTATTGATTTTAAAAAAAAAGAAGAAGAAGAAGAAGAATGAAAACAAATAAATTAAGCACCCAACTGATAAAGTTTAAAAAAAAAAAAAAAAGGAACAAACTAAAAGATTACGTCCATTCTCAGATTCTCCACTACTCTACAGGAACACCTCTGCACCTTGGATGCACAAAACCACAAGGGCTGGGATTTTATCTGTTTCCTTCTCTATTGGGTTCCAGGCGCATAGAATAGTGTCTGGCATATTGCAGGCAATAAATCAATATTTCTCAACTGAAAAATGAATCAATTTTCCAGGAAAATATACGTTACCAGTACTGATTTCAAAAGAAACATGAGAAATCTGAGTTACCATGAATCAAAAGGTCAGCAGTGTAAGAATATGAAGCCACAGAAACAGACAGCACCAACACCACTTCAGCTGTTTCAAACACAGAAACAGAAGGAAAACTCCAAGTGCTTTTTATGAAGCCAGCATAGCAGTGAAGCAAAACTCGGCCAAGAAAATACACAGAAAATAACTTACAAACATTAATGAGAAAATGCTAAGTAAACCACTAGCAAACCGAATCCAGCAGAGTACCCTTCCATGGTCAAGTGGAACTCTTTCCAAACATGCACGGGTGGTCCAATGTTTAAAAGCTATTAATGTAACTGACCAAAGAGATCGAAAGAGAAAAATCATACGACCAAATGATCAGTTCCATGGATGTAAAAAAGCATTTGAAAAATTTAATCTCCATCTTTGACTTCAAAACTCTGAAAAGGTAAAAATCTGCAGACCCTCCAGGGTAGGCATGATGGCAAAGGGGTTTCCTTACTTGGCAGCAAGCAGACCCTTGAGTGATGGCCTGGCCCATCCATCCCTCAGCCCGATGGCACAAAAGGCAACATGTCTACATTCTTTTCACCCTTCTGATCTGGCTGCACCAACCTCAGGACTTCAGGAGACCCTCCCAGAACAGAACCTCATATGCTCATTTGGTTTACGGCCTTGGCTCTGCTTGCTTACTGGTTTTGGTGATAAACCCAGGGGAAAGAGACTTGAAATGAGCCCAAGTTGTCACTGTCACCCACCCTCCAACTTCGACAACACTTTCTGGTCTGGCCCAGCTCACTGGGGCAGCACTGGACTCAAACAGCAGTTGACGGATGCACCCCACAACTCTGTCCACACCTGCAGTACCTGCTGGCTGTTCTGGTCCATTGTGAATCCCATGCCTGTTCCCCCCAACTTACATGTTAGCACAGCCACCACTGGCTACAGGCTCACTCTTCCCATCACTCTCATGTTTACCACGTGGAGATGTGACCCACAGCTAAAGGTCTCTTCATGTCAGAAGTTCAAAGAAATAAGGTTGAGGAAAGAAATCAACCTGTTTGTATAGACTTTGAGATAGTCAGAAAAAAACTACTGTTAACTGAGAACTATTCATTAAACTCATATTTAGAAAACTGATTTCAATTGACTAGTATACTAAAAGTATGTAAAAGCATCTGAAATTTCATTTATACTATAAAAAATTCAAAACAATTACCACTAATCTATTCAGCACTTTTCTAAATGGATGACCCTTTGTGTAGGTCATATGCCTTTTCCTTGCAGTTGTGGTACCTGACTTGACTTTCCAAGCCTCATTCCCTTCAGACAATGGTCAGTATCAGCTCTCCAGCTTTTAAAGAAAACTGTTCTCCATGTGATGTGAATGTGACTGACAACCAAAACTCCACTATCATTTTCAGTTCTTTTTATGCTCACTGCAATGATGGTTCTTCAGATTCAAAAAAGTCATGGCCCGTGGAACTGTCTAATAAGTGCAAAAATCAGCTACTTCTTTTAAGATGAAGAAATTCCAATAAAATATTTGACTCCCTTAGGAGGATCAATTCCATCAGTTTTTCAAATCTTAGGAAATAACATTTGAGTTCATCTCAAAGATCCAATACTGGAGATCAAAACCTCTGGGTTATTTGGGAGATTTCTGAGTGAGATCAATAAGTTATTAAGTAGCATTGGCAGAAGTAACTGTACTACATTAGGTAGTAAAAGATTATGGAACCTTATATCTACCCATATGGTCCCTCCCTAAGTAACGCCATGAGTACCTAGTTAAGGAGAAAGCATAGAACTTAGTGGTTAAGAGACTTTGAAGTCAGCTTGGGTTTAAAGCCTAATTAGGTCAGAGTACCAAGTCTATCGTGTACTAGCTAGGTAGCCTTGGACAGCTAACTGTTCTGTCTCAGCCTCAATTTCTTCATCTATACAGCAGGAATAAAAACATCTACCAAAAATGATTGTTGTAAGAATTAAATGAAATCGTTGTTCAGTGCAATGCAGAGTATCTGACATAGCTCAGTGCTCAGTAATTGGTAGTTTAGCAATCACTCTCATGAATGTGATACAGCCACCAGTCAAACCCTGTAACACAGTTTATTAGTCATATGACACTAAGTTACGGCCTCGTATGGTATTTATTTATAAGAATTTTGTCTGATTATGATGATTAGAACAACACATTGAACACACTATATGCAAGGCATTGTTCTAAGTGATTCAGTTAAATGTATTAACTCACCGAATTTTTGTAACAGCCACAGGGGTGGGGGTAAATAATTATTTTCCCATTTTATTGGCAAGGAAACTGAGGCTCATGATTACATAGTAAGTGCTGGAGCCAGGATTTAAATCTTAGGAGTCTGGGTGGCATCCATGCTTTTAGTAACTAACACTGATGCCTCTCTGTAACCTACTTGAAAGCAGATAGCAGCCAGGCACAGTAGCTCACACCTGTAATCCTAGTACTCTGGGAGGCCGAGATGGGAGGATCGCTTGAGGTCAGTAGTTCGAGACCAGCCTGAGAAAAGCAAGACTCCATCTCTACTAAAAAATAGAAAAAATTGGCCAGGCATGGTGGTGCGTGCCTGTAGTCCCAGCTACCAGGGAGGCTGAGGCAGTAGGATTTCTTGAGCCCAGGAGTTTGAGGCTTCAGTGAGCTATACCACTGCACTCTACCCAGAGTGACACTCTGTCTCAAGAAAAAAAAAAGGAAAGCAGGTGTCATTTATATCTTCAATACATATTGCTGTATTACAATTATGTATCAGGTACTTTCCATCGCAATGAACTATGTTTTTATCTATTCCTCAGTGCCTTAAGCATAACAGATTCTCAAAAGCTACTTGAACAGATGAAAATGAGTAGAGGGCTCTAACAGGCCTTACACAAGCCTCACCTACCTACCCTCACAACTCATCTCCTCCCTCATTCATCCCACTCATTCATTCTGCCCACACCAGCTTTCTCACACCAAAACTGGCGATGTGCATTGTTTATGCTGTGGGGGTTCATTGAGTTCGTAATCATTTCTTGAGCGCCTACTATGTGCTAGTCACAGCGAATAGGCACTAGAGAATACAGGATGATAACGAAATAGGTATACTAGTGGAAAAAAAGTTAAATCAAATAAAGCCTTTGGCTTACTTTACGGTACCGAGGTTAATTTCTAAGCTTTGATGAATGTACCATGGTTATGTAAGACATTACACACAACAAGGAAAACTGGGTGGAGGAAATGCAAGAACCTTTGCAACTCTTCTGTATATCTTAAGTTGTTTCAAAATGAAAAAATTTTTTTAAAAAAACGAGATACAGTTCCTGCCTTCAGGAATTCAAATTACAGAGGAAAAGGTAGATGTGTAAACAAATGAATACACGAAGCGAGTGTTAATTCCCCGGCCAGAGGTAATGTTCAGGATGGGATGGGAGGGGGAAGGAGGTCGGATGTGCCAACCCTGCTGTCATGCAGGACCCAGCCGAAGGGACCTGGCCTCGGTACTGGCTCTGCAACCAGTGGGCCTCCCGAAGCCTCAGCTTCCTCCTCTGTAAGAAGGGACCCTGGGGACGGTCGCGAGTCCAGGCACGGTGGCTGGGGGTCTGCAAAGTGAGTTCCTAAGGGACTGCGCATGCCCTCAGAAGCCAGGCCGAGCGCACCTGCACCCTCCGAGTGACCCACCTGGAACTCCAGCCCGTAGATCACCGGCGCATCATCCTCCATGGTGCGGGAGGGCGGCCCAACCCCGGCCGCTCACACACTAACGCTCTCCCCTAAGGCAGTGACATCAGCACCTCCCAGGACTGCTCCCAGCGCCCATTCATTCCCTCCGCACAGGAAACGGCTCCGAACCCGCACCCTTTACGACCCACACCAGCTTCCGTAGGGCCCACTTCCTATTTTTGTCGCGCGTCATCAACGCGCTGCTCGATGAAGGCCAATAGCAGCGGCGCTAGGCTCTTGCGCATGCCCATTTGCTCTCCCATCCGGGTTCTCGGCCGCGCTGTTTCCTGGTTGGTGGGCGGGACAGGGAGGCTGCGGAGGCGGAGCTCAGGGAGGCGGGTAGTGGGCGTCTCTGGCCTCAGGTTGCAGGAGAAGGCGGCCCAGAAGTCTCCTCCAGAGTTTTACCCTATAAAGAAAGAGCAGTCGCTGAGACGCTGCCATTTTTTGTCATTTGTACTGTTACATGGCATTCCCGAGCGCTGGTCCCACGCTTTACACAGCCGCAAAGGTCTTCCCTCTATCCTAGGAATAAGCGTAGACCTCGCTTTACAGATGAGACGTGCAAATTTGAGTGACAGTTGCAGGTGCGTGGGTGGTCAGGGGGGGCTAGGATGCGCACCTGAGTCATCAGACTCCCCTAGGCTCGGCCTAGGGTCCTCAGGTCAGAGGCCATGCCTAAAGCGTTTCCGCAGGCGCCGGCCTCGAGTGTGGCAAAGGCTGCACTACCAGGGGTGGGGCGATGCCGAGAGCCCGCACCGCGCCACTGGACATACTGGGCCAGCTTTTGCCTCCGAATGGGAGTCGGAAGCGAAGACCTCAGGATCCCCAGAGGTCGCCCTTCTTGTGCAGCAGGCCCATAGTGCCTGCCTTGACGTTGGGCAGTGCCTTTGGAAGACAGGAATGACATTGCAGGGAATCCAAAATAATCATATCATAGCTGAACCCCCATCACTGCTTCCTCCAGGGTATCCAGGACCACGCACTTTTCCTCCATTTTTGTGATTATTTAGCTTTTCCCTCTACCCATAATTGATCTCCATGACAGAAATGGTTGGGTCTGGTTTTGCTCAGTGGTACCTGGCACCTGAAATGAGTGACTGAGGCAAGGATCTCAATCAACATTTATTAGGCCAGCTTTAAGGTCCTTCCAGGAAAAACGCAAGCCACAGATGCATCTGTGGCTATTTTCTGAAGAGGTTTTCAAGACGCTTAGTATTTATACATTTCCTTAAAGCAGGGAAAAGTGTATAGGAAGAGGGGCAGGTAGGCGGTAAGGCAAAAGGTTACATTTTTATGAGACTTTAGTGCCCAGGAAATGTACATTTTACATAAGATAAGGTGAATGTATGAGGAGAAAAATAGAGTAAAGGAAGAATCAATTATGCAGACATCTCTAGATAGCTGGGGAAACAGTTGACCTAATCTTGTCTCTGGTCTGCACTTGGAAAGAGAAGCTTGTAATCAACATGAGCATGAAATCAAACAGACTTTAGTTTCAGGAGCTGGAGATAGACTGCAGACCTAAAGTTAAAATTTGCATGTCCTTGTTTTGGGAGGCCGGCAAAGAATTTACTTATGAATGATCTGTGGGGGCAGTCCTTCATAGATGCCTATAGCCTTTGACCTTTCTGTGGGGATCTGGCTAATGCATAATGTTAGTAACAGCTAGCTATTCAGTAGGAAGCGGGCATTATATGACTCAGCCTCCAGGCTTGACCTTCCCTTTTGCATAAGGAGTTTGGGGGGATCCTGCAATTTGTATTTTCCTTTACACACCCAACACCCTGCATGACACAGAGCTAAGGCATGATGAATATCTGTTAAGTGAATGAGGAAACCTTAGAGATTTATCAGAAATCAAGTAAGCAGAGGTCCACACCTAAGAATCATACTCAACCGCTGCATTTTCCAAAATTAACTTGCTGGGCTAAGAGAATGCAGGGTCTTCATATTCCTGGATTAAATTCACCTACCTATCATTGATATTATTACTACCACTATCTTCATCATCGGTGTTATTATCATACAAATACAGGTGCATAGTAGAAAACACAGATAAACACAAAGGTAAATTCCTAGAAATACTGGCCAATGAGAATAGCCTAAGCGTCTCCCTCCACCTGCCCCTTCTGCCACAGTTTGCCTGTAGCCTCCGAGTGTCAGAAAGAAGCTAGACGGAGGGTAATCTCCCCCGTTCCACTTCCCAGGATAGGGCCTCTCCCCACCCAACCCCGACTCCCCGCCCAGCTCCGCCTTCACACCCTGGGCTCCAAGCTCCGCCCACCGAAGACGAACCGGAAACGCGCTTCCTCGCTTCCGGCGAGGGCCTCTGCACTGGGCATGCGCGGAAGTAGCCTCTCCACGGACCGGCAGGCGCAGGCGCACAGGCTGCACTGATCTCCGTATCTTCGGCTTGCTCCCTGGCTTCAGTCACCTTCTTCCCGGACCCCGCTCACGGCCCCAGTGGGCGGGTGGCAGGTGAGGATCAGGGCCCCGCAGTCAGAAGAAAATCGGCCGTGCCGAACCGCCTCCGGGCTGGAGCCCTCGGCCCGGCCCCCCGGGTCTCCTCTGAGTCCCTTCCTAGAGAGGGGCGGGCTTCCCTCCTCCTACTTGGGGCTTGTCCACCTCGCAAGCCACTTCGGGGCTGGAGCCTGCCGGCCCTCCGCCTGGCCCTGGGTCTCCTCTGGGGTCCTTCCTAGAGAGGGGCCGGGGTCGCTCCTGCCTGGCCACTTCTGCTCCGCCGGCCCAGACCTCCACGGCGCCAGCAGTGAATGGCAGTCAGAGAGAGGATCCTAAAGATCGGGAGAGTTGCCACATCTGCCAAATATACATTTCAAGCAGTGAAACATATTCTGATTCTACCTTTGGTTATAGGTATATGGTTAATACTGGTGTCTACAGGTGAATAAGGCTAGAGTAAGGAAACCCTTGGAAGTGAGGAAGCTGTTTTGCCACAGATTATATGAGCCTTACCACAAAATATTATAGTTTATATATGTGTATGTATATATATGTTTTACATATCTTCTTATGTATATATATAAAATCATCATCTATATCATGTTTTATATTATTTTCATTTGACCATTCCTCTTAATTTTCCAGAGAAGTAAACCCTCACATCCTTGCTTACAGGCATTTTACTTTGTAAAATAAAATGTAAAATAAAATCTAGATGATTTCATTTGTGTAAGGGGAAAGTGATGATCCCTTTAGGGCAGTTTATTACTTTAATATTCACTTAGAATAGTTTGTTTTTTCCTTTACTTATCTTCTCATAAGTGGTTTTTAGATGTTTGTATTTTATCAGTTCTCTTAATTTGTAAAGTTTTTAAGCTATGTAATTTAGAAGCGTTTTTATCTTAATTTCTATTATTTTGGTGATGTTTTCCTAGGCAATGTTCTATCTTGTCTATCTCTGGTGAACACATTTCCCTAAATCTTAGATGTTTAAAGCAGCTTCATCTTCATAGCAGTAAATTTTTTTCTGACAGTTTCTTCATAAAAGGCTCACAGGGCTGGTCTGAGAGGGGGAGCAAGTGAGTGCACATACTCGTGCACATGCCAGTAAGTGCTGTCCAGTTTTGTTGTTATCTCAGCTTCAGTGCTTAGTGAGGATACCTTTTTTTTGTTACCATTTAACTTTTGCTTCAGTCATTCTCACTGCCTCAAATTTCCAGAATTAAGCAGGTGCTATAAGTTTTCTGGAAAGAGGCAAAGAAAGTAGGATGGAGTGTCTTGGGAAAGCTTCATGGAAGAGGGGTACTTCAGCTGAGTCTCAAAGAATTAGTGTTCAAATGGCTGGAGACCTCACACCTATTAGAATGGCTACTATAACAATAAAAAACAGAAAATAATAAGTGTTGACAAGGATGTGGAAAAATTGGAACACTCCTGCATTGTTGGCAGGAATACAAAATGGTTCAGCCACTATGAAAAATAGTTATTCAGTCCTCCCCCAAAATTAAAATAGAATTACCATATGATCCAGAAATTCCACTTCTGCTTGTATTCCCAAAACAATTGAAAGCAGGGTCCCAAAGAGATATTTATACACCCATTTTTATAGCAGCAATATTCACAATAGCTAAAAAGTGGAAGCAACCGAAGTATCCTTCAATAGATTAACGGCTAAACAAAATATGGTACATATATGCAATGGAAGATTATTCATCCATAAGAAGGAAAGAAATTCTGACATAAGCTACAATAGGGATGAACCTTGTGAGTATTATGCTACGTGAAATAAGCCAATCACAAAAAGACAAATACTTTATGATTCCACTTCTGTGTGGTCCCTACAGCAGTCAAATTCATAGAGACAGGAGAGGGGTGGATGCTGGGGCTGGGGAAGATGGGTATATAGGGCATTGCTCAATCTTAGTTGGGCAATCTTAGGGACAGAATCTTAGTTTTACAAGATGAAGAGAGTCTGGAGATTAGTTGTACACAAATATGGATGTACTTAACACTACTAAACTTAAAAATGGTTAAGATGGTAAATATAATTTGTGTGTCTTTTACCACAGTTAAATAAGAGGCTGGAGAAATTGATGTTTTTGAATTTTGAATCATTTGAATATATAACCAATAAGCATTTATTCAATTGATAAACAAGGTACAATTAGTTTAATGGTACCTGAAAGAGAAAGCTGATGAGGCTGACTTGTATTTTTCTCTGTTTCAGGCCGCATGGAGGGTGCTAAAGGTGGCAGCCAGGCTGAGGAGTGCCCCCCGGCGCAGGTGGGAGCTGAGGGCATCTCTCCGCAGGGGCCTCCGGAAGGACAGGGACAGGTTCTTTACCACGAGGAAACCATCGATCTGGGTGGGGATGGGTTTGGATCCGAAGAGAACGAGACCGTGTCAGAGGACTCCACTAATTTCGTGGGTAAGCTCAATGAGCACATGATGGAGAGCGTGCTCATCTCCGACTCTCCCAATAACAGCGAAGACGACGCGGGTGACCTTGGTTGTCTGCAGGATGTCATGGAGCCAGTGGAAGACAGTGCTGACCATAGACTGGAAAATGTCACCAATAAGGAAGAAATGGACACTCTGAGTAATGGCAGTGAAACCGATGGGGACGACACACCTAAGGACATCTCAGACATGACCCCAGATAGCAGAGCATCTTTGAAGGAAGACCCTGCACAAGAAGAAGCAACAGGCATGCCCGCATTCAGGGGCGATGATGCAGAGGACCCGGTGCCCAGGGATGGCGAGGCTCCCCCAGAAGAGCA